AAGTTTTGTCCCAATCATCATTAAGATGATTTTGGGCCCATTCTACCCGTTTACATTTATGGTCTGCGGTCAGCATCGGCGTTGCTCTTGAAAGGTCTTTTTGGTATCCAATTTCGGCTAAATGCTTTCCTACTATCCTATATGACACATCTATACCTTTCAATGACAACCTTGTTGACAGAGTCCTTGTTGAAATAGAAGAATCCCAGCGGACAAATTGGGCTAATGTTCTTGATGTATTAGCCGTAATCTTTTTTGGGCGATCACTTCCTTCTATACGCTGAATCATCCCAGACTCACGAAGCTTAGTAAGGTTATCATATACAGTCGTGAGAGAAATTCCAGTGCGTTGATGGATTTCTCTAGCCTTCTAAATACCCCGATTCCATAATTGTAAGATCGCTTGACGGTTAGTTTCTTGTCTAGAGGTCATCATTTTTAATTAATTGAATTTTAGGTTATTTTTAAAAAATTGAAGATATTGAGGAGAGGAAATGAAAAAAAAATTTTAATAATTAGTAATACAAAAAAAAAAAATTATATACTAACTTACCTTGCGATTATTTTCCTTTTTACATAGTTCAGATCGAACTTGATTTGGTTGAAATCTGCATCATTTTATTTCTCAAAAAAAATTCCGGTTTTTTTTGTCCCACACTGTATTTAATAGATTTTTAACAGTTAGATAATATAAAAAAAAATTAATAAAATTAAACTTTTATTAAAGTTAATATATTAATACAAATGTTTAATTAGTTATATTAGAATAAATTGTATTAAAATTAAATGTATTTCTTTTAAAAACATAATTTTCTTAAATAATTTTGGCTTTATAGATGTTTTTTTTTATTAATTAATAGATTATTAATATCAAAAAAAAGTGTTTACTTATAATTAATATTGTAGAAACTGCTAAATACTTTTAAGCAAGATAACTTAAAATAAAAAATTTGGCTTTTTTTTATTCTATTATATAAGAGAATTTGAATTTAATAAAATTTCTGATAGTTAAAAATATTTACTAACATTATTAAGAATAATTATACTATTTTTAGCAAGTTATATTATTAAAATTTTTTTTTGCTAAAAATTTTAGTTGTGATATTTTTAAAGAATTAAGTATACTAATTTCTTTTTGATAATCCTCTCTTTTCTATTTAAACAATTATATAAATACTATTCAATATTAACTTATTAATCTATTAAAGTAAAGTTAAGTTTTTTAATTGAGAATCAAATATTAAAAAAAATTAGATTTTTTATATTTATATATAATTTTAATTTAACTTTATCAAGTAAACTAAAAGTATTAATTGGTTTATTAATTTAATAATTATATTTTGTAATTCTTCTTCTTTTTCATTATTTTCAAATATATTATTTTATTTATTATAGGTGCTAATCAAAATTATGCGAATACTTTTCAAATAAAAAAAAATTATACAAAAAAACATATATTAGAAATAAAATAAGGTAAAATATATTCATTTTATTGTCATTTATTAATTTTTACAAAAAAATTCTGATACTAATATTTAATTCTATTGCTATTTATAGCAATAACAGCTTCGATCCTCTATGACATACTATTGATTAATTTTTTATAATATTTCAGAAGAATTTCCTTTTAGTAGGATTGTTAAATTCCAGTCTGATCCTAGTCTGATTCCAAAACTTCCAGTCCTAAAGAAGACTAAGTCTATAGGATTTAGGTCCTAAGACTGAATTTTAAGACCAGATTCTGAAACTGCAGTCCTAGAACCACAATCCTATAGAAAAATAATTGCTCAAGTCGAACGATTCCTCATCATTTTTCTTGAATGATTTTTTTTATTATTCTTCTTGAACGATTATTTTATTGTTTAAGTTGAATGACTTTTTTATCATTCAAGTCAAATAATTCTTTATTGTTTTTTTAAACAATTATTTCTTTTATCACTCAAATCAAACGATTCATCATTATTTTTCTTGAATGATTATTTTTCTATAAGATCACAATCCAAGGACCGCAAGTCCTAATTTCTATAAGACTGCAGCTCTATAGTTTAAAAGATATTAAACTGGACTGGACTTTATAGAACTATTTAGAATCTAATTTTAAATATTCCTACTTTTCAGAAACCTTTAATATACTAAAAATGTAAAAATGAAAAGGCTAAAAAACTTTATATATTCATTTATTACATTAATAAATAAAAAATCAGTGATAAATATAGTATATGATTATTTGATAATCTGCATAATTTTGGTAAAAAAAAGTGTTCACATAATTTTGATCAGCACCTGTATTATTAGAATTTTTATTATATAATAATAAATTTATTTTAAGTATTTTAATAATTTTATCAATATATATACAAACTATTAATTATATAATTGTTTTCTTTTAATACTTTTATTATTTCTTTAAATATTAATAATACTTTTATTAAATCTATAATAAAATTTTAATTAACATTATTTTTTCAGCTTTTTGGCAATTTTTTCTATTGAATTTAAATATGTATTATTTGAAATTGTATTTAATAAAATTTTGATCTATTCTTTTTAATATAATAAATATTTTTATGCAAGAAAATTTGAATCTTTATATATAAAAAATATCTAAAAAATTATATATTTATACAAAAACTATCAAATAAGCAATCTATATTTACTAAATATTTCAAAGTCAAAATAATATTTCTTTTATAAATATTTTATAATATTTAAATAATTATTTATAAAAATTATTTGCAATAATTGAATCAGATGATACCTATTAAAATAGTTATTTTTATTATTTTAGTAGTCTTTTAAGGATAAAAGAAACTTTTAAGATTTTTGATAATAATATATTAATTTATTATATTTATTAATAAATTAGTTTTAATTTAATTCTTAGATTTTAGATTTTGATTGCAAAATATGAATCAAAATTTGAAGATAATGAATTTTCACAAAATAATATTGCAAATCAGATGAATTGCAGTTGCCATCCTCTATTTATAATCCTATTAATAACAATGAATTCTAATGTAATGTTATAGTAATAAAACGTGTAGCTGTTTAAATATTTTGCAGCATGATAAAGACGACTTTATGAAGTATTTTATTTTTTTTTGAATATTTTTATCAGCTATTATTATGAAATTCAGATGTAGAATTTGAACACTAACTCTGTAAATATCTTGAAAAGTGATAGAAGCAATGGATCTGATAACAATGGATCTGATAACCTAATTAAAATATTAAAAAGTAAAGTAATATAATAACTTATTTATTAATAAAATAGCTTTATTTTTATAAATTAAATCTTTCACGTGATACTTAGAAGAATTTATAAATGCCACATTTTTTCATTAGTGATTATTTCGATGTAAAGCTTGTTTACGAACATGGTCAAATTCTAATTAGATCTGAAATGTTGAATCACGAAACACGTATAATACAATATTTTTTTTGAGTACATTATCTTTTAACCCATCTATTCTCGCATGTATTATAGGCGCAGTTGATTACTAAAATTATAATTGCGAATAAATTTATTATGCATGTATACTTATAAAATACGCATACAGCTTAAAAATCAATGAAAACATATATTTTATTATGTAATAGAAACGCATTGAGAAGAGCTCAAGAACGTTTAAAGAGAAGAATGCACGAAAAACAAATGTCCGCCAGCTACAAAATTAGCTTTAATATTTACTAAAGAAATTGCGTATAACACGGTTGATGATCAAAAAATAACTCTACGAAGAAAATTGTTTTAAGATATTTGGTATACATAGATCCGCATATATTTATTCTGGCAAAATCCGGAATTTTTAAAAAATCTCCGATAGAAAATTTTGTGTTCCGGTTTTTTTTCCGGAAATTTTTAAAATAAACGAATTTTCATCCGGAAAATTTTTTTTGTACATCGTCACATATAATTTAATAAAATTATTAATTTTGCAACATTTGCATTATGTCTATCGAACAATATTTCGAAAAGAAATTGATTCCGAAGAAGACATAGAAATCGATCATAAAAGAAACTTCTATTGAAGTACCAAATACAAATATTACAATTTTTTGATAAAAAATTTGTAAATTTTATAAAATTCCAGAAAGATCTGGTAAATATTTTTTTTAATTATACAACTAATATTCAAAAATATCATTATTATTTTGAATATGGTATAATTTTTTGTCATATCGAATTGGAGAACTATTATCAGGATCACTATCTACATTTGTATCTTTAATACCGATTTTGTATTTATCTTTACTTGGAGTAAATGGATACGCTGGGAGACTACCGGAAAGTTTGGATGATTCGAACAAATTATCATTATTTTCATCTCTCAGCTGAAATATTATTCTGGATGTTTCCAATAATCCATACTGTGTATCAAAGAGACTGGTAAGATAATGATAAAGTATCACAGAATAATCATAAGTCGAAGATATCACATACTATACCTTGAGATCCCAAAGGAGGACAACAAAATCAAAAATATGTTTACGATGATCTTCATAACAAATTGGTACAATTGACTTATGTGACCGTTCGTATTGCAAAACACCGCAGGATGGATTATACATTTGCCACAACTCAATGCGATCCTCTATAAAACGCAGAAAATTAAATAAAGATCATTGAAATTAAGAAAAATAAATAAATACTTACCATAAGTGTGTATCGAAAAAACTCTTAACTTCGAAAAAGTTTCAGGAGAACCGCCCCGAAACTGCTCGCCAATTTCTTCTAACATATAAGAGTTTCCAATCGGTAGCTTACAACAACCATCCCACGTAGAACGAGGGATATCTTTATGCCCATATCCTCCACTCATTTCTAAATGACCTATTTCAATTAATGATTTTGTTAATTTCACAGAGAAGACTCCATCAGATTTTTGTTCATAAGGGCTGATACTTTTTCGTCGACTTCTGCAAGATTTAACTGATGATAAAATGACTTCTCCCCTTAAAAATAAAATTACATCAATATACAGTATTTATCGAACACCAAGCATCACCTCCCCAAAAAGCTACTTACATTTGATAATATAGACAATCTTCTAAGCCGACAAGTATTTTTTTTAAGCAAGGATGTACCAAATAACCTCCATAAACTGCCTCTGACACAACTGGGTGTTGCATAATAGAATCTTGTATAAAAACATATTTATGGAATAAAGATAAAACTTTTATGAAAAAAGCAGTGAATGGATCTTCATGATATAGCATCGAACACGTTATCTTGATATTTTCCAAAAAAAGATCTTTTCTTTCACCTGAATACTGATTAATAATATCATTCAGGAGATGAGTATCTTCATTTAATTTGTCTCTTTTGAACCTTTTTACTTCGAATCCCAAAGATTCTAATGATTTAATTTTCAAAAGTTCAATAATATGTTTTGGAGGACTTGTAATACTTGGACGTTTGGTAAAGCTCTGTATCTCGGTGTACTCTTCATTATTTAACCATCTCGGTTTTGCTATCTTGAACCCACAACGAATGATTCTCCAAACCTCTGGTCTCAGAGGATGTCCTTTGACACTTGATGCTTTCTCTAGCAAGTCAGTAACTACCGAACCAGATTTCAATGTCCAACTCTTCCAAGAGTCATGATTGAATGAGCGTTCAAAGTAAGGGATAGTGGCTTCATTAGTTTCTTCAAGTATTAATTCCGGGTCAATATTTATGTCATCTTCGTAGTTTGGAAGTCCCCCATCAAAGATAAATTGTTGACTGGGTCCTGAAAACTTAGGTAACTCAATAATAAGGTTATCGTCTTCACATAGTTGTGGTGATGGTGTGGTATAACCGTCTCGATTATGTTGCCTTTTTAATATTCGTTCTTCTTCAAGATCACTTGCATTTTCTCTTTTTCCTAGGACAGTTGTACTTTGCAACAGTTCTGAAATATTCTGAGTTGAAAATATAGTCGTTTCCTGCTTTTGAACTCTCTCAGAAAGCTTTAGGTCATGGTTTCGATCGTAGAATTTGATATACCAATCTCTGCAACTTTTTAAAATCGACAAACCTTCAAAAGTATCAACGTTTAATAATTCATTACAAAACGAGCATATAGAACCTGGAACATTTTTATAATTATTTTTTTTTATATTTACGATTGATTCTTGCCAATCTTTGTAAATCATTATCCAAGATGGAAGTATTTCTTCCTTTTCTAAACGATAGTTTAGATAGTGTTTTAATTTCCATTCATGCGCTTCTACCTCTCTAAAATAATAATTAACGCCTTCAATTTCTTTAGGTGCGCGAAAGGCTGAGTATTTGTGTGATCTTAATGTCGCAGCCATGCCGTGTACTTTGAGTCTATTCAATTTTGACTCTTTTTTTTATACTACAAACAATACGAGAAAAGTCAATTTGAAAAGGCTCTTTATTTCAGAACGCGTACTTATTTCAGTACGCGTAAATTTTCTAGCGCGTGATATCTGACCAATATAATTTATCTACCCCTCACCACAAAAAAATTACACCCCACGTGACATTTGGCCTGCATTACGGCATTAAGAAATTAACCATGTGACGAATACCTATGAAAATGAAAACGACGCAGGGTGACAAATATTTCTATGATCACGTGGGGTGGAAGGTAAGATACAATAATTTTCGATCGCGTGAAATGATCTTTTTTTACTTTCACACAAAAAAAAGTGGCTACAGTACTGGAGGATGCAACTTTGCTGAAGGTCCACGACTGTCCAGGCATTGGCGGTGAGAACTTCCTTGTATCTTTGATACTTAAGAGACGCCATACTTCATGTCTGTCCAGGCATTGGCGGTGAAGTTATGAGTTGCTTTGTGGCTGACAGCTGCTGCGTCTGTCCAGGCATTGGCGGTAGTAGTTGATCCACTGATTTTGCTGAAGTTTCTTGCGACTGTCCAGGCATTGGCGGTAAGAACTTCCCTTGTGTCTTTTGATACTCGAGAGAAGCCATAGCTTCATGTCTGTCCAGGCATTGGCGGTGAGTTATGAATCAGTGAATATCCAAGTTATCTCTTGGTAGTCATAAACTCCTGTCTGTAGCATATCTTTCTACTGGGATTATCAGGATAGTTTTTTATTTAATTTATTCTTGTTTTTGAAGGTTAGCCTTTATTTTTATATGACTTTCCTAACAAGATTTAATATATAGTTAAAAAAAACTAGGCGAAATTAAAATATACATGCTTTCAAGGGAGAGAATACGCGGATCATAACGTCCATGCATCATATTATTTCTTTTGCTTTCTTACATTCCGGAAAATTTCAAAAGCTAATTTATTTGATTTTCATGTCTAATTACTTTGCTCTTAGAATAATTTCATGATGTTTTTTATTGATGAATTTGATCGATAAGTTTGATTATATTTTATTAGCTTTGCTTAATTTTGCTTTATTTATGCGAGACAGATAAAAAGAAGCATTTCACTCTATTTAATTTGTAATACATATTTGAAGAAAACTACGCCAACATGATCTCTCATCATCAACGCGCTCTCCTTAAAGAAAATTTTACACTATCCTTCGTCGGGGGTCCTTTTTTTAATAATAATATATGTAAGAATTTGAGAATATGAATAAATTATTGTGCAAATACTAGTATGATACTGTACATTTATCAAATTCTAGATCAATGGTCGGAATTATAATAGCGCACGCTTTACACAATCCCATAACTTATTCCATGCGAAAAAAAAAAATATAAATGTCTGGTAAATTCGCGTCTTTGCTTTATTGATCGTACAAGAAATAAATATGTACGCTACTTCAAATAGCAATTTGAAAAATAATAAAAAATTTCAGCATTATACTGTTTCCCTTATGATTCTCGAAATCATAAACGAAAAAATTGTCTATTGGCTTTTCGCTTCCTTGCATTTGCACAGCCTCAACTGAAAGTAAACCATCTTAATGCTTAATGTCTCGTCAAGAGCTTCTCCAGTATTCATTTTTTTTTTTTTAATTTACATCGAGTAAACGTTTCGGTAAATGAATTTGTTAGAAAAAACAATATCAATGCGCAATTTTTTTTTTTTTTTTTTTTTTTTCAGATGATGACTATTTTGGCAGACTTATCAACGATAATTACGAACACTCTAATCCTTTTATCCGATCCAAGTTTTACACGAGTTTGCTTATGCAAATACACCAACCATGTTACCGTTTATAGATAAAAAATGCTTTAAAACAATAAATTTAAAGATAAGTACATCGTAAAAGTCTTCTATATATCATTCATTAGTTATGGAACGAAACTATTAATCGATTCTGATCTTAATGCCACGGATGAAGATTACAAATCTTTGGAGGTCTCAAGCCCGGATGGCTCTTCATCATAATGTTGTACTTAGAGACTTTACTAGGCAGCTTTCGAAAATTTCTGATCAAGTAAAAAATGGATCATTTGACGCATTTTCTAAATCTGATGCATTTAAGAATATAGAGTGGATTAATCCCGCACAATTCACATCGTTTTCTCATTTATGTTCGAAGTCATAGTATTTTGTCTATCTCTTGAAATCTTTGAAGGGGGCGAGAAGGCGATAATCATCATCATCATGAAAAAATCGTGTCACTGAATCTAATCGGCAAGACTCTCTAATGCATCGAGCCTTTCCGATAACATATCAAAAGAATCTTTCATACATATTCATCGGTGATAAACCAAAAAGAAATAGACACCAGTTCCGACTAATTTACAAATACAATCAGAATTCTAAATAATCACCAACGTAAGTCAACAATAGCGATTATAAAGAGGTGTGATTATATAAGATGTGACTATATAGAGATCGGATGTACAAAAAGTAGTTGTCTTTTCTACGTATTACTGTCGAATTCAACAAATTTTCTTCAATCTCTAATTTATTAAAAAAAATGTGGTACGCGAAAAAATATGACACCCATCAAGGTATATATTAACTAAATTGCCATTAAGTTTTTTCGCAATCTAATTTTAGTCGTGTTGCTTATATTTTTATGTTTTAAATCCAAACTTTGTAAGAAATGTGGTACGCGAAAAAGTATGATCCTCTTCAAGGTATTTGTAAAAAATAATTATAATTTTTTACTTTTTTTGTTAAATTGACAATAATATTTATTTATTTCAATTTAAATAGCGGGAAGTATCGATGGTACAGATACTGTACCACACGATCATGGAATTTTACGTGCACAGAACTCAAATTGTAATGTATACTCTTATACATTTTAAAATCATTTATGTATTCGTGACTAATATTTTTTGAATTTTTTTTAAGATATACCCCCTTCTCATAAAGACGATGTCACTAATGATCCATTTCATACAATATTTGTTGGACGATTAAATCCGGAAACTACTGAAGGCAAGTGATCTATAAGAATATTTTTTTTTTATTTTGAAACTTAAGATTTAATACAATTATATACAATTTTAGAAACGTTAACACGAGTTTTTGAAGAATTTGGAACAATCAAAAAGTTGCGTCTTGTACGCAATATAGGTAAGATTAATGAAATGTTTTGATTTTTTTTATTTTTTTGATTCGATTAGTAAATTTGTTAATTCATGATTAATGATAGTGACTGGTGATTCTCGAGGATATGCTTTTATCGAATTCACACATGAAAGGTCTTGTCAAGAAGCTTACAAAGTAAATCCATTAATTATAATGACACGATTCAATCTAAATAAGTATACTATTTAACTAAAACATTTAATAAAGTATGCATACAGGATGACAATTGATGGCCGTCAAATTTTAGTTGACTATGAAAGAAATGGAATAATGGAAGGATGGATTCCAAGACGAATGGGAGGCGGTTTTGCCGGTCGAAAAGAATCTGGACAGCTTCGTTTTGGAGCAAGAGATCGACCATTTAAACGACCTCTGTAAGTTAGATATCAATCTTAAGAAATTAAAAACTAGCCGTTATTTATTATTATCATCATTATACTTTAATTATAAAGGAACGTAGCTGTAAATCAATACATGCCCGAAATCCTTTCTGATCAGCGATTCGATGATTGTTGGCGCCGTAAAACCGATAAAGGACATACTTCAAATATAGCAGCACAAAATTATCGGTCCGAATTTCAGTACTCCAAAAATTCTCAATCCAATAGACAAGGTAAATCAAATATAGTTGGAATATCGAATAATCAGAGGTCTCCACGACATCGGCACAGTAGTCGACATGGAGAGAAATCAGATCATAGAAGGTCAAGAAGTCGCAGCCCATATAATAAAGACAGGTATCCGGATCCAGACAACCATATACATAGTAGAGCAAAGTATAAAAGCCACAAGAGGCGCAAACATAATCGAGAATATGAGCATCGCAGATGACATTTATTATGTCACAAATCGTATAATACTCTTATTCTTTGTATCCTTAAATTGTTTCCTTTACGGTTATTTTACGTATTTATGATGTATTATCTATACGCATTTTTTTTTAAGGCTAAACATTTTTAGTAATGATATACATCGATTGTTCTTTAGAAATTCGCCAAAGAAATTCAAAAAGAACAATCACCCAAAAAGGAATGAAGATCAGACATTTCCTTTTAAAGAAGTCGGGCATTTTAAATTACTATGCATATTTTCTATTGCTATGGCGCAATTTATTTAATTTTAGATTACAGGGGGGAATTCTACGAGATGATTGATAAAAAATTGTTTGACTAATAAAAGAACCAAAAAAAAAAGAGACATTAAACTATTCTTTTAGAAAAATAAAAAGCTCATTAAATAAATGTATTTATAGAATGTAATAATAATACTAAATAACTGTACAAAGCAAACAAAAAAAAAAAAAAAAAAAAAAAAAAATATACTGTAACGAGACAGATATAAATTGTACCAAATTAAATCGATCTATTAATAATAAATATGTAATCTTATACGAGTCCATCATACAAACTTAAAGCTTGAACGATTGTAGGATCTTTTTTCGAACCTTCTTGGAATTCTTCCATACTAAGTTTACCATCATGATTCTAACGATGCCATAGAAGTTTTCGTTAACTTTTATTAAAATCAAATGAATTAACTAAATGAATTGATCACACTTCCTTACCTTATCCATTAGAGTAAATATTTTATTGACACGCTTTTCGGGTGTATCTTCATCGGCTGGCAATTTTACCATACTACCAACCATTTTGTATATAGCATCTACAATTTTTAGCATCTCTTCGTGCGTTATGAACCCATCATTATCGATATCATAAAGCTGGAATGCGACTGGTGTATTAAACAACATTTAATATCAATTGAAAAATTAATAAGCAATTATAAGAAAGTAACTTACATATTAATTTTTCGTCTAATTTTCCTCGAGAAGTAATCGATAATGCACATATAAACTCTTTAAAATCGATCCTTCCATTTTTATTTTCATCAAATACATCGAATACGTATTCAGCGAATTTCGAAGGATCACCAAAGGGAAAGAATTGTTTATATATCTTTTGAAATTCTGTTTTATCAAGTTCTCCAGAAGGACAGTCTTTTAAGAAACCTTTATACCTACAATTTTATATAAAGAGAATCGTTCATAAAAAGGCACAAAAAAAAAAAAAAAAAAAATTTTTTTAAAGCAGAAACCAACTTACCATTGTTGAAGTTCGTTTTTGTTAACTTTTTTATTTTCACAAGTAATTTAGTATTTGATAAAGTAAATATACAAAAGAGAAGAATTGGATCTGAAACGAAATAGTAAATTGTGTTTAACAAAAGAAATACGTACATTTAGTGCACCGTTGTAACTCTCTTAATTGGTCTTCACTAAGTTTACTATTAGATTTACCCATTGCTATTTAAAAATTTTGTTTCTTTAATATTGAACAAATAAAATAGAAGGTATATTGATTTATGAGATGGACTGGTTTTTTTGGTCGAAAAAAATAATTCACCATTTTATACAAAAAATCGAAAAATTCCACAGGGAAGGTTCCTGCAGAAATTTCTTTGTTGTGCAAAAATTTTTTCCCTACCAAATGATTAAAAATTCCAAATACAGATCATGTACACGACATGAATGATACCCGGTAAATGGGTATTGCCATCATTACCCGCCACAAAAAATGGCATTTTTATTGTAACATAAATATATTAGGGAATCTTTTAGTATTGATTGTTACACCTGATCCCGAATTTTGATTGGGCATTTCCACATAGTGACAGCAGACATTGCTACACTTCGGACAATTATAATTTATAATTGTTATAATATAAATAATAAAAAATATTGATTTATAGCGTTTATTACAGTCAGGGGATATTCCAAATAAGGAAACGAGAACTAGAATATTCCATTTCAGATTCCTAAAATTTGATTGGCTTATATATACATTTTTTACCTGTATTTTAAAAATTTTTTTACAATACTTGTTTAATATAAGAAACTTTTAAACCGGATAGAATAAGACGTCTAGTTTTCATAATCAAAAAAAAAATCCCTCATAGTTAAGTTTATTTATTAAAGTAAATAAAGGCTTAAAATTAAGTATTTGCTTTAAATATTATTATTTAAAATAAATTTTATTAACTAAACTAATTTTTTTTAATATTGCATTTTGTAAATTTGGTTATAAAATTGGCTAAAACATGTTAGTAATGAAGATACAGCTACTTATATTCCTGAATTTATTAATCATCATTCTTTAAATATTTATTCAATTTATAAAAGATATTATAATCAAATTATTATTATTAATCGATTTTATTAGCATTTTATAAGTTCTCTTTAAAAAAAATAAAAGGCTTTGACTTAAGAATAATTCAACTAGTTATATTATTTTAATTGTAGATTTTAATAAAGCTAAAAAAATATTTAAAATCTATACAAATAGAAAATTAATAATCAATAATAGACCTTAATAATCAAATCATATAAATGCAAAATTATATAGAAGATTAAAAAAATGAAATAGCAGAATTGAAGAAATAATTACAACAGGTTATAATAATATAAATAAAATGCAAAACTTATATGATGAATAATGTAAAAATAATGAAATTCTTAATAGATAATAGAATTTAAGATTTACTGATTAGCAAAAATGTGTTGACATAATTATTGAGATAATAAATGTAAAATGTATAATATTATTTAATATTTAGAATACTAATTTAAAATAGCAATAGATTTTTTATAGAGAATCTTGTAATATATAGTTTTCATGAATAGTTAAATAGGTGTAATAAAGTTGTTATAGTATTTATTGAAACTTTAGTTCAAAATATTCAAAGTACTAATATTTTAAATCAAAAAAAACTTTTAAAACTGCTATTACAGTTAATTTGATATATAATACATAATATAAAAAGTATATTTTAGAAATTTAACTTACCTTTTTAGCTATAAAGTATTCAATCATATGATAAAAGATAATTATCAATATTAATAAATCATATTACAAATTAAAAAGTTACTTTTAATTTTAAAATAGTTAGAAGAATTATCAAAGCAAAAATATCTATTATCTGAAAAACTTTTATTTCTTGTATTTAATAATGAATAAAAAGAATAAACAAATATCTTATTTGAGACTATAATATAATAAATTAAGTAATTTACTATATTATTATTAGCTTTATCACTTTTAATATGTTATCATAAAATAAAATTCAATATATTTTCTTAACCAATTATAGTTTAAAGAACTTTTTAATGTTAACTTTTAAATGTAAGAAACTATTGATAAAAAATTATATAATTATCTTATTAATATTCTTAATTTATTATTTAAAAAAAAATTATTCTTTATAAATGTAATTAATTTTTTTATAGCATTTATAGGAACTAATATTATTAATATAAAAAATGTTTTAATTATTATCAATAAATATTAAAAATTAAAAAAAATATCTAATATATAAAATACAATTGTCATATTAATAAACATATAAAAAGAGAAAGTAACTGAAATAATATCTAATAAAATTAATAATATCTTATTTTTAAATAATAAAATTTTAACGATTTATTAAACATTATATATATCTCTAGAATTAGTATTACTTAACAATGAATTTTTAATCAAAAAGTTAATATACCTGATATTTATATTTTTAATCTGATTAATATTAATCCTAATTCTATTTTAAATATTGAAAAAGTTCTTTTGCATATAGAAAAAATAATAGGGATTAAAAATAAAATTTGTAAGTGAATAGTAATGATCTATAATAATATCTTATTATAAAATTGAAAAATAAGTTACTTAGCTAATATTTATATCAAGATCATTACATGAAATAATAAATATATTTTAAGTATTTATAGAGTTAAACTAGTAAGTAATAATTAAATTTTATTCATTTTCTGATTTTTAGATTTTTATTTGTTTAAAACTTAAATTTATATTAGAAAAATCAATATAAAATGATTTACAATATATTAAGATTATTAAGTGAATAATCAACTTTTTCTATTTTAAAAAATGCATAAACTATCATAAATCTTAAAATTCTGTCTGTAATATATATTATCAGGCAATTTCTATAGAACTCATATAGTCATATTTAAAAAGCAATTCTAATATATCAGTTGAAGGATATCTTACATAAACCAATAACTAATAAAGTACATTTATCAGATAAAATATAAACAGAAAATTATTAAACATTATACTTTTATAAATACTAATATTAATTTTATTTTATTATTATATTTTATAATAGACATTTATTTATTTTTAAATAATAATCAATTATTAGAAAATTATATAAACTAATAAATCTATATTAAAAAGAGCTACTAAAAGAATATTTTCTCATATGTAGTCTACAAAATATCATCTTATTTACTGTTTAATATATAAATTATTATCCTTTAGATTATCTAACAGGCAAATTTATCTGTAAACTTAAAAAAATATGTTATTTTTTTAATAAAATATTAAATATTAATTTTAGTAATATAATAATTATATGAAAAATATAGTTTAATATATATT